TGTCTTGTCATTACTTAAAAAAAAACTGTCATTAAATTCCTTTCCCCATTTTTTAAATGCCTCCAATTTTTTGTAATTTCAATGTCTAGTGGAAAATCATTATTACGCATGCTTTAAAAAACATTTGTATTAACACTTATTCCAACTCGTCATATCAAGTAAAACAAGGTTATTCTTATTGGAATAAATGGAAAACTGGTTCGGGTATGACATTGGCTACCAAGAGGTAAAATTAACTTACTAACGACTCCTAACGGCAGAAGGTTTTTTATGAGAAACGTTTTCATTAATATTATAAAAATACTTTTTGGATGGTGCCCGGGGCCAAGGAAAAAATGTGAAGTACTATTTAAACATGGGTTAAACAAAGCAATATGATTGTGCTCGTATTAAGAATCTTGAAAGCCTGTGTGGCTCTTATTAGTTTTGCTCAGAAAAAGTGATTGACTGATTCGCATTGTAGGTATTTAATGCAAATTCAATGAAGTAATGAATGTCGCTATTTGACACAAATCAGCAACACGTTTGACTTACGGCAGCATGTTGTGCTCGCTTGTGCCACGTATGTATGTATTAGGAATGTTTCGAATGTAATGCGAATGCGAATATTAGGAAAAACATTAAAAAAGCTATAACCAACTTAATGGCGTTTTCTTTTCTTCAAAAAAGGTTGCCTTTTCATGGCCTTCCTTTTAGTATTTGTGCGCAGAGGGCACTGAGAAGGCAACATTTTCCGGTAGAAAAGAAAACGCTATAAGTCATCTTTTTTATAAATTATTAGAACATTGAACCAGTGCTTAACCTATACAGTGTTTTAATCTAGTAGTCAAGGTTCAAAAAGGGCATAATACATTTCAGGAAAAGTAATTATGCTGCCTTTCCTCCCATGAGGCGATTTCTTAGAGGCTGGTAGATATATAAGGCCGACTGGACTAGACAATTGCTCACTTTCCACGAATATAGTACAAAACTTAACTAAAATATGTAACTAATAGTACAACTACGTAAAATATGAAAAGCACTGAAATAGTTTACAGGTCACAACAAAAAGAGGATAAAGTGCAGTGTTTTGCCTGTAAAATATTTAAATTGAAACAATCTTTAACATATATATGTGCGTTACGCTGCGATTGTGTGCTTAGTGGTGTTAACCGCAAAATATTCCAATCATTTGATACGAATGTGTAAACTGATGCGAACCATACGTATAATGAATGCGACTTCAAATATTCGCAACATCCCTGGTATGTATGTATGTGTTGCTGCAAGTAAAATAATAGCAGCAAAATTCAAAATGATGATTTTGGTAACTTATGTTTATTTATTTATTGTTTATAATTTTCATTTAAAATATGGGTTGATGTATATCAGAAACCTCATAAATAGAAGTTACAAAGCTGCACAAATTTCAATTTTTTTATTAAGATTTTCTAGAAATAGTTTGATTATGCTATTTCGTAGATCATTCAATTTTAGTATAACAAAGGGTAAGTTTCAAGTCCCCAAAAGTTACCGTTCATTTGTTAGACTTTTTTTGTCGAGGGTGTTGCGCAATATTTTCCATATAATGCATGAACAAAATTTATTTTTATATGGAAGACAATGCCTTTATTAACAATAAATAAATAAACATAGCTTGCCAGCAGCATCATTTTGAGTTTTGCTGCTATTATTTTACTCGCAGCTATACTTATATATACTTACTTGTAGGTAAGCAAACATTGATTGTTGCAACGCTATGAAACTTTAGGCTTTCCTTTTGCTTATATGTACATATACCTACAGTCAAACTTCTCTATACTGAACTTCTGAATAACGAAGTCTGCTCTATTGCGATTCGACCTTAAGAATGGTGCTTTTTCGTTTTGATTTTAGTGTAATTTGTTCTCTATATAAAGAAATTCCAAGTAGCGAACATTTCTGTATAAGAAAAAATTTGTGCAGCCTTAACTTGGAACTAGAAGCATTTCTAATCACTATATAACGTCTGAAAAACCCGTATTTATGGCGCGATTAGTTTCATATTTATAGCGCATATTACTTAAATATATATAACATTTTTAAATATTTTTCTTTTTTGTTAACCAATAATAAAAGCTAGTATTCAAAGTGTATTCTTTTAAATTACTTGTTTTTTAATGAGTCTGTATGCAGAATGCTTGCCAAGAAAAATATACTGTGTTCAGGCAAATCCTGAAATTTGGAAAATGGCAATTACAATTGATAAAGAATGTACACGAAAAAAACTGGTCACAGTTAAAACGTTCTAAAACATAAATATATGAATGGAATTCAACGATATTTACATATATTTACATCTAAACTTAGTTTTATTGAAATTCGGTAAAAAAGAGTTAATTCTCCTTGTAATAAGCAAACGATCGCAATTTTGACTTTATGTCCTTCATTAGCCCTTGCACAGAAGTTTCAGTGATTTCCTTGGAAACCAGCTGCCATTTATTTTTGAATTGTTGTGCGTTTTTTACAGCTTTGTGGGTCTTAAGAAGTTTGGATTTCATAACGGCCCAGTAGGTTTCGATCGGCCGATGCTCTGGACAAATAGGTGGATTCACCTCTTTTGCTACAAAATACACTTTGTTTCTATGTTACCATCCTAAAGCCATTTTTCCGTAATGACATATCGCGAGATCAGGCCAAAAAAGCACTGGATCTTTATGAAGCCGTATAAGAGGTAAAAGTCGCTTTTGCAGACACTCCTTTACATAAATTTCTTGGTTAATTGTACCAGTGCTTACAAAAGGATCACTTTAGAAGCCGCATTGGCAAATTGCCTGCCAAATGAGAAACTTTTTGGGAAATTTGTCAAACTTTTTGTTTTTATATTTATCTGCAACATTGCCTCTTTTATTTGCAGTGTGAAATTCGCGGCCCCGGATTTGTTTAAAATCGGCTTTTACGTACGATTCGTCATCCATAACAATACAGCCAAATTTTTGTATGAGACTGTCGTACAATTTCCGAGCACGTTGTTTCGCCAACAAATTTTGCTTACCGTTGCGATTAGGTGCTGCATTCACTTGTAAGAACGTAGTCCTGCTGTTTTGCATACTTTTTGTATATACGAAGACGACATGTTTAATTTTTTGCCGACATCTCTTACCGAAAGTCCAGGATTTTTCTTAAAAGCAGATAACACTTCCTTTGCCTTAATTTCGCAAGCAAATCCTTTTTTTCTGCCACTACCAGGGTTCCTTTTTAAAGATAAACATTCATTGTATTTTTTAAGCACATAAGTAACGGTAGACTTTGGAAATTTTAGCTTTTTTGCGATGTCGTTATGGAACATGCTGGGATTTTCCAGCTTTTTGCGCAATATTAACTCGCGATCGATTTCTTTCTTGGTCCTCGTTTCTACACTGATTTTTGTTACTAAAAAGAAATGATGCAGTAAGGTGGAAAATGCTTCCAGCTTTTTAAGTGTCTACCGATTTTTATTTTAATGTTATGATTAACCGAGCTATGCTTGGTTATGTGCGACCAGTTTTTTTCGTGTACATTCTTTAATAGTTACCGCAAATATCCCATCGCCCACACTTTTGGCAGCACCTTTAAGTTTGCTTTTCAAGCTCTTGTCAAAGCAACATCGCAAAAAAATATAAAAGAAGTTTTTTTCTTAACAGCGGTCGTCCCTCGGCAGGCAATAGCAAACCTCCGAGTGCATTTCTGCCATGAAAAACAGCTTCTCATAAAATTACAATCGCCGTCGGGTCCCTCACCTTTGTGTAACATCAAGGCGCACGCCACAAATCGGAGGAGAAGATCGGCCAAATACTAACATATGTGTGAGCTCCAATCCATTATTATTATTTAAATTTGCTTTTACATCCTGCGATAATCAATTAATAAATGGCTCCGTGTATAAGTGCTTCCGTAGAAAAAAAACGATTGATCATAAAGGCAATGGCAAGGGGAGAGATTCCAAAAAAGAAGACATTGCTAAGAAATTTAGGATTCTTCCCAGTGGTTCAAATTTTAAACGGAAGAAGCCTTAGAAATGAAAAACAACGTATCAAATACCGTATTTGCTTTTCTTAATGTATTCCAAATTTTTGTTGAAGAGGAAAAGTGGTAAAAATAAGTTCTAACCAAAATAACTGAACACTTCAAATAAAAATGTTAAAAAGCCTAATATTTTCCTTTTTCTATATAACGAAGTAGTTTTCCGATTTTTGGGATTCGTTGTAGATAAGTTTGACTGTACATACATATGTAGTAGGATTGTTGCGAATATTATTCTGAAATAAAAGTTCTTTCCGGATAATAGACAAACGGCTTATCCAAATTAAACAAGTTTGGTACCAAATGAAAGAGGATTTAAATAGCTTTAAAACTGTGTCTAGACGAGGAAAGCCACATATTGAAAAATATTTCAATAAAAAATTTAACTACTTACCATAAAACAAATCTTGTGTATATATATGGTATATGAATTTCTTTAGTATTAAATTATAAAAAATATAAATAGAGGTCGTTCGCTATTTCTGTTTAAAAGCTATTTCAGGCCTCTTTCATAAGATACCAAGTTTGTTTAATTTGGACAGGCGGTTTGTTTATTAAGCGGACAGGACTTTTATTTCGGAAAAATATTCGCAACAACCCTAGTATGTATGTACGTGCGACTACTACAATAAGTAGAATGACCAACCAATTAGTCAAAGCCAACTCGTTAATTCAATGTACAGAAGTTTGTTGAACTTGTGAATGCCACTTCATAAAGCAGGTCCATCGACCCACTTCAGCTACATTCACTGCGAATTCACACTTAAGTGCATTACTCAAACATCTTTCCCAACTAGTTAGCTGTTTATGTATTGCAAATACCACTTGTTGCATGTCCATATTTATACACATAAATGCAAACTTACATATCTGCATAGGTACATGCTAGTAGTGTGTGCAATATAGACATAGTTACAAATAAATTAAATTTAAAATGAAAAAATGTATGCATGTATGTATGTATGTAGGTTTGTACTTACATGTTAACACCACAGCCATTTTGCCCGTGTAGACCAATAATAAAATCGTACCGTACAAATAGACATAGTTGCCGAGCACAGTGGTCGCTTTATCGCCAACATTCATATACAAGTAGCCAAATACTAAACCGATTACAATGTGTGACATCAGACGAGCCAGCAGCAGAAACTGTAAAATAAACATTAAGTAAAAATAATAATTTTTACTAATTCACACACTTAATTGCCTCAGACCCGTTTGGTGGACGGGGTCTGTTAAAGAGTTGCATTTATTAAAAAAAAAAAAACTAATAATGACGCGAACCTCAACAGCTATAATGGAAATGACCAAAAATTAAATGGCAAAGCGTTAAAACCAAATGTAAAAAAATTGGCAGTGGTAACGCCACTCAAGCAAAAGTATGTTAAGGTTATTGCAATAAAGTTGCATGCAACTGGCTTAGCCGGATGGCGGCCGACAAGAGTCTTATACATATGTACGTAGTATACAAATAAATATACAGTGTAACGTTTCCTAACAGACACATATTAGATGGAAACGAATGAAAATATTTTTCTAACCCAGGTCTTAGGTATAATTTTCGGAACAAATTAGCCTCTCTTGAGTGGAATCTTTTTGGGCTGAACGCGGATACTTATTTTTATAAAGTTAGAACAAAAATCTCTTATCAATGAAGAAAATAAAATGTAACTTTTTTATGTAGAATTTCGTTTAGTTTGCTCAGTCCTTTTTGTTCAGGCATAGTGTAATTATATGTAAATGAAATACTTTTGAAAAAATTCCTAACGATGTAACATTACATCAATTAAACAAGTAAGAAAGTCTAAGTTCGGGCGGAGCCGAACATTAAATACCCGCCGCAAGTATTAAATATATGTTTTTTCACCTTTCCGAAACCTACCGCTAGATGGTAAGCCGGGGTGTATCAATTTTGAGTAAATTAGCGTCCCTAAATTTCGAAATATTCCAGTTTCAAGCATTTCTGAAATTTACCGTTATATAAAAAGCGGCTGTAATTTTAGTCAATAATGTTCAACGTATTGCTTTTATGTGGCAAGCACAATAACCGTACCGAGTTTGGCACAAATTGGTGGAACGGTTACCGATATACATACATATATGTGATCATAAGTGGGCGGTGCCACGCTCTTTTCCAAAATTTTACCATACACGTATTTTTTTGGTAAATAATTGTTGCAAGCATCAATTTTGAATAAATTAGCTTAATATTTACTGATTTATCGAAGATCTTGTATTTCTCTAAATTACCGTTATGTGGGATGTGGGCGTGGTTATCGTCCGATTTTTTTTAATTTTCGGCCATTTAGTAGGCTGTACCAATGCCAACAACTGTGCCAAGTTTGGAAGAAATTGGTGCAGCGGTTACGAAGATATACACATGTAACCATAAGTGGGCGTGGCTACGCCCATTTTCCAAAAATTTATAATATTCTTATTTTTCGTCTGAAAGTTATTGTAAATAACAATTTTGAGTGAATTATCTTCAGTAGTTGCTAAAATATAGCAGTTTTCGTATTTCTGGAAATTACCGTTATATGGGAAGTGGGCGTGGTTACAATCCGATTTCGCCCATTTTCAATACCAACCTACCTTGGATTAATGGAAACCTACATACCAAATTTCGTTGAGATATCTCAATTTTTGCTCGAGTTATCGTGTACACGGACGGTCGGACAGACGGACGGACAGACAGACATGGCTTAGTCGACTTCTCTATTCATTCTGAGCATTTATGTATACATTTGTCTATATCTATCTCGATTCGTTTGGGCTGTTACAAACAACCGTTATGTGAACAAAATTAATATACCCTTGTGCACAAGTGCGCTCGGGTATAAAAATTCTAAAAATACCCATCCCCTTGGGCGGACACTCAACTATTGTCCCCCTAAGGGAGACTTCACTGTATACATTTATGCACCAATGCATAGGTATTTAACTATGACTATACCCTGCAGCGAGTGATGTTAACCTTAATCTTACTTTATTCTGCTTACGCGAGCACTAGAGCTGACTATTTACTTTATCTTTTGTTAAAAAAGCTAACTGTGTACTGTTTTGTAAGGCGATGGCTGAAAAAAGTCAGACCTAGATACCCCTGCATTAGGTATCAACAAATTTGCAAATTTTGGTATTTCTTTAAATTTTTAAGTGTTTATTTGTTTACTCCATGCATATTAACATTACATATTTGTTTATTTGTTCACATATGTATTCTGCTGTAGGTGGTCCCATATTTTTATTACGTCGGACATAATATCAAAAGGATAATATAAGACATCGATCTTCATTTAATTTGTCCTGAATTCGAAAAAGTATTTATGAAGCGCGGAAAAAAAGTTTATTCAAATAAAATAGAATTTCCCGATTACGTCTGCATGACGTACAACTCACTTCAAGTTGGTATTGTCATAGCTCAACTACCAGTTCTTTATTTTTAACAACTGGTAATTTTACACTGAAGGGTAGATAAGATGCGCATCCTAAACATGTCTGCAAATATACGTACCCTGAGAAAAAAATTATCAATTGATTAAAATAACCAACTTCTAGTTAGCTTTTTCGCGGGACTTCGATAAATAACTAACTTTTAAGTAGCTATGACAAAACTAACTTTGAGTTAGTTGTAAAGTCGTGCAGGAGTCATGCAGACGTTATCGGGAGTTTGTTTTCTTTACTGAATATGATAAAGAATCTGCGAAGTTCAGAAAAAAAGTGTATTGAAAGTTATTTTTGTTTGATGACGTAATTTTATATTACCATTTTGATCTTATGTCTGATCGAATTCAAATATGAGACGACTTACAAAACAACATGTAAACAAATAAGCAAATATGTGATGTTAAATAAAATAAGTGAATGAAAAAAATATAAAAAATTGAACAAATCTTTTTTTTGTTGATAGTTTATGTCCAAAAGTAGTTAGCTACAAGTTAGTTGACATCTAACGCAGAGGAAACCAGTTCTCACTAGTTTGCGGCCATCGCCCTTCAAAAGTGTTTAGTTACGGCCAAAGGAAATAGTTAATAAATAGTTACCACTAGTCGACTGCTAGTTAGTTACAAACTTGTCCCATTTCCCGCAGGGTATGTATATAAGTACATTAGTATGTAAGATGTACAAGTGTTTGTATATATGTCGTCGTTTAAAGTTCAAAACCGCGTATGGACAAAATGCAAAACCGCGTATCAAGATAATGCAAAACCGCGTATGTGAGGTTGCATAAATTATTTTCTAGAGAATAAAAACACTCATATTTCAAAATGGCTCTCTTTTTTTTAAAGTAATCGCATTTCTGACTAGTATATTTCAGGACAAATGTATAAGGATTGCGCCAAGAGCTTGTAAGAGCAAATCCAATTTTTGGCAGCCAATGTCAGTTACGCGGTTTTGCAGAATGACGATACGCGGTTTTGTACTTTAAACGACGATATGTACATAGCTAGGCACATATATATTTATATATACTCTGAAATTGTTAGGTACAATCCCGTATTCCTCGGACTAAAACTAGTAAAACTGTCAAAAAATAAAAATTCGCTCAGAGCGAGAGAGTAACATTGAAAAGTACGGGATCGCTTTCTAGTAAAAAATGGTAACTTCTGTCAACTTCAACATAACCTCCTAATTTTGGTTGTAAATTTTTGCTTATTTTATATGTAAACACACTCAGCTCACGCATGTAAATAACCAGAAATACTTTCAAATTCATTAGAATCCACTTAAACAAGTAGTTAAATATTTTTCAATATGAATTAACAGAGTACACTTTTCTTTTGTTTACAATTTGGTTTCCAAACACACTACAGCTGATCGTTTGACACATTTACCAGAATTTGCTAGCAAAAAATTCTCGGACTAAAACTGGTAACTTCTGAGAGAGAGAGAAACGTACTTACTCTCTGTTTTGTCCTCTCAATAGTCAGAGTATCGAGTACGGGATCGATTTCCAGTAAAATCTGACTGATTCTGACTATTTCTGACTAGTCCGGACTCGTACGGGATCGCAACTGTTGATCGTATTCGAGTCTTTTTTGTGCCCTCTGCGCAGTCTGACGTTTGCCAGCAATATT